TGATAGGTTTTCAGTATTCTCTGGCAGCTCTGTGTGTGTTCTTGTCAGCACCCTTTCACTTTAACAGCTGATACAGCATTTTACTTGTCTGAAATATTAAGACCATCAGTAAAGAAATCCTTCAACTTCTGTCAGCTGTAATTTTTTCAGTCGGTATCAGTCCTTTCCTGTCTACTTGAATTCCATACTTACCAATCTGGAACCTTGCTTCATTATTTCTACCTTTGTCTCTTTGCATCTGTTTTTCTACTCAGGATTCTGTGATCATCTTTTCTTCTGTTCAGCCTGGTGTTTGGAGTTTTTCAGGGAAGTTTGATAAATGTGTGATAATAGTGAAAAATAATGAAAGTGTTGGATCATGGAATCTACTCTGGAAGAGGAAGAAAGACCAGAAGGAAAATGATAGTTGGAGAATGTAGTGATCGCATTGTTGAACCATGCATCTACACCATCCACCATACCCCTTCTGGCCCTGTCCTATACTTACTAGCTTGTCTTCCCTATTCCTGCAAGCTGCTTTTTCATGTTTTTTAGCAGTACATATTCATTATGCTTATTAACTGAGCATGTTAATGCAGTTAATGTGCTCTGTCTGTATGCACATATAATATGCATTGATAAAATCCAAGCTCCCTCTATTCACCACAGCCCCCAATCTCTAGTAATACGGTGGTACCTTGTTTCACAAACTTTTTTTTTTTTTTATGAGAACCATTCTTGTCCAATTCAGTTTGAACCAGAATTGTGCAAAGAATTAAGTTTGTGAACTGTGGTACCACTGTAACTATTCCACTTGCAGGTCCATTTGATTTTCTGTCTATGAGGTACTTAGTTCTGTGTCTTATGTCACTTAACATGATGTTCTCCAGTCCCATCCATTTTGTTGCCAATGACAGGATTTCATTCTCTTTTTTAGTTTTTTGTTGTTGTTAATTGTTAAGACAGGTTCTCACTATGTAGTTGAGACTGACCTGGAACTCACAATGTAGCCCAGGCTGGTCTTGAACTCACAGCGATCCTTCTGCCTCAGCCACCCCAGTGCTGGTATTACAGGTGTGTACCACCATGCCTGGCCAGGATATCATTTGGGGGGGGTACCGGGAATTGAACTTGGGCCCTTCCACTTGCGAAGCAGGTTGCAGAACCACTGAGCCAAATTCCCAGCCCCAGGATTTCATTATTTATGGCTGAATAATACTCAGTTACACATTAAGACCACATTTTCTTTATTTATTCACCTGTTAATAGTGTCTGTCCTTATGTACATGTAGCTATCTCTTTGGCATGTCCATTCATTTCTTTCACACACATATACATATGTAGGGTTGATGAGTCATACTCTAGAATTTTCCAGCAAGTTCCATACTGGCTGTTCTAATTTACACTGCCACCAACAGTATATAAGAGTTCCTTTTTCTCCTTTTTTTAGCATTTATATTTTGTTAATAGCCATTCTCTCTGGTGGTTTGAGATGGTATCTTATTTCAGTTTTGATTTTCGATTCCCTGATGGCTAATATCCTTTGGCTGTTTATCTTGGCCATTTATCTTCCTTTGAGAAGTGTCTATTCAAATCCTTTGCCCAGTTTTAAAGTAGATTACTTGTTTTTTGTTAAGTGTTTTGACTTCACTGTTTTCCTGGATATTAACCTTTATCAGATGAAGTATTGGCAAATATTTTCTCCTGTGCTACAGGTCATCTTTTCACTCTGTTGTTTGCAGTACAGAAGATTTTCAGTTATTTATACTCTTATCTGTCAGTTTCCTTTAACTCTTCTTTTGCAGTTCTATTCTGAAAATTATTTTCTGTGCCAGTGTCTTTAGATATTCTCTTTATGCTTTTTTCTGGCTGTTTCAGCTTTAAGGTCTAAGATTTAGGTGTTTGATTTATCTTAAATTGATTTTTGTACAAAGAGGGGTCAAGTTTCAATCTTCTGCACAGTTGATTGAGGCTTTGCGTGTACATTTTGATGCTATTGTCAAGAATCAGCTCTAGATGCAAAGGTTATATCTGTGACCTCTATTCTTTTCTAGGTGTCTGTGTGTCTGTATTTAAATTCATCAAGTGTTGTGGTTACTATGGCTCTATAGTATGTTTTGAAGTCAGATATTGTGATGCCTCCAGTTTGTTCTTGGTCAAAGTTTTCTTTAATCCCCAAGTTATCTTTCTAGTTTCTTTATGCTTTCCTGAGGCACTGACCTTCCATCCTACCTGAATTTGTCTGTTTTGTTTTCCATGATCACTTCCTTCTCTTTCTTATCTCCATGTCTGTAGTTTCCTCTGCTTAAGGGCAGTTGTTTCTGTGTTGCCATCTTTTATCAGAGTATTGACTCCACTGTTTTTACCCTAACGACATTTTGACTTTCTTAGGAAATTCCTTTTTGCATTATTTCTGATGCAATTATAAATACTGTTTTCAATAGATTGACAAAGAATTGGCTAGTGGTGAATACTTTTTGAAGGCAAATCAGAAGAAGCGACAGAAAATGGAAGCAATAAAGGTAAGACTGTCTTCCTCACAACATTAACAGCAAAGTTCATATATACTTATTTATAAATTGTATCTTGCTAATGTACTTCTTAATGTAGGCTAAACAAGCAGAAGCTCTCAGTAAGAGACAAGAGGAAAGAAATAAAGCGTTTATTCCACCTAAAGAAAAGCCAGTTGCAAAACGTAAGGAAGGTAAAGCTCATTTTTTGCCTTTTGATTTGGAAGTGTATTATTATCTATGAAAAGTAAAACCATAATTTACCTCTTGTGTTAACCAAAAAATTACTATCATCAGATATCTTAGGATTTCATTAATTACTAAGCATAAAGGGATGACTGAATTTATAATTTAGTTATAGTTGATGCTTATTTCAGAGTGTCTCAGAATGGCAGTCCTTCCCAACCCATGACTTGTATTTGGGAAGACATAAACCCAGAGCACTCTGTTGTTTTTATTTTCTTTGTTTATTTGATCAGTGGCTTAAGATTTGTTTCTATGTTGTTAACAATGATTTCTCATTACTTTGGACTATAGAACAAAATAATGACAAGAAAGTCTCTTAAAAGAGACTAAGAAAAACTCAGGCCTTCTCCATTTCTAGCCTCCTCCTTTTGCATTTTCCTTCCTTCTATTAACACTTGTACTCTTTGTATGAACACTTGCACTCTTCCTAAAGTAACCGTCCATAGCCACAGTAGCACACTGAGTGGGAGAAAGGTCACTATCAAAATTACATGTAAACTATTGGTTAAAACCAGATGTAACACATTACGTTTTTTGTATCATGTTGTGGTTCATGGTTAATAGTTTTTAAAACAAACACTGTGCCTATGGAGATAATATAGTCTGTCAGTTTAATAAACTTCAGATGTCTTGGTAGCTGGTTAACCTAGGTTTAAAAAGATTAAGAATGTAGCCACTTTTCATAGTGACGGCTTTAAATCTCTGCACCTTAAGTGGCTGGGTTGTCTATATGGTGACGTTTTATCTTGTGATTCTTTTATGCTGTAAAGTTACATATTTTTCATTGTTTCCTTTTTGTACTTGTTCACGTTTTAGGCATGGAATACATGGTTTGCTTTGTGAGGGAAACATTCAAATTCTCTAAAATTATTGTCTATTTACTAAAGTCTTGTTAAATACTAGTCATTATTAAGTTTTTATTGTGGTCTTAGGTAGATTTTAATGTGTAGCTTTATGATTAGCTCTTTAAATTACTGAAACTAGAAACCTAATCTACCTGTACTTTTCATGAAATGCAATTTTTTTTATTTTAGTCTGCAAGATGAAAAGTTGGCACACCAATATTTAAATTTCTAAAATATGGAAGAGACTATAAGTAAAAATTACCTAATCTCAAATATTTAGCAATATCCGTTATATATTCTTAAACTGTCAAGCCATTTTCATGTTTTATTTTGAAGAAACGTCTAACTTTCCTTATGCAGGTGTTTTACATTTTATAACAGCCTTTCGATGATTACTCTAAAATGACTGAATTACACACTTGTTTTTCATATGGGGTCTGGCTGTGCTTTAGGCTGACTGCACATGCGACAACCTCCCTGGTCGCTGGGATTAGAGACATGTGCCACTGTGCCCAGTTAAACATATATTCTTTATGTTTTGATTTCTAAAGAATTGTTTATGTTTTTAACTTTTTTTAGCTTCTACTGAAACTAAAATTGATGTGGCTACCATCAAGGAAAAGGTTAAGAAAGCAAAGAATAAGAAACTTGGAGCCCTTACAGCTGAAGAAGTTAAGCTTAAGCTAGAAGCAGATGAAAAGAAAAAGAAGAAAAAAAAGTAATATAAAAAACCAGACCTTGAACTGTTAATTTATACATCTACCTCCTTTTGTAAAGGATTTTGAGAAACAGGCCATTAGAGTTGTCCAATAACACTCTGATCCCTTTTTTCTGAGTTTCAGTTGTTCATAAAATAGTACTTTATAGATATAAATTATTCTATTTTTCATGTGTGTTCTGAGAAATTTTGTGCTACAGAGTAGTAGTATACATGTTGTATATATTATATAACCAGTTCCAGCAGATTTTACTGACACATGATTTTTTTAGAGTAACTTTTTACTTTTTAGTTTTTTATAGATGTGCATGTGACTATTGTAATAATGCATTAAATCCAAAGAATGCCTAAGCTTTTCATTAGTCTTTAAATATGCTACCCCATCATTTGGTTTTGAGAAAAATAAGTGCAAAATTTTCAGTGCTTTCTCTTCTCATAAGTGAATATTTTGGCTTATTCCTTCTTAACATTTTGTGTTTTTTTACAAGATTAAAGAACTCATAAGAAGAAAATCAAGACCTTTTGAAATCTCTGTTACAATTTTATTCTTAGTCTAGGTAAGTGGTCAACAGTAATATCAAATTGCAAGAGAGCAGGAAAAATCAGGAACCTGAGAATTGAAGCTAAACCAATGAAGAACCCTAGGATGAATCAGACTGACCTAGATCAATGATGGCAAATCTTTCCTTTTAGAGCGTTCAGTGATAACAGCCTGCTGTAGCACACGTGCTGTAGGTTCACCAGCACTGACCTATATCTAACGTTCTCTCTAGATTGGGAAGATAAAACACAGAAACGAGGTCACTTACTGAAAATCTAGCTGTGGTCACCTAAAAACAATGCTGTTCATAGAAAAGTGCAAAGGAAAGATGAGTTTGTCCTATAGAGTTTAGGATATGGAACAGTTTTTCTTTTGAGTAAGGCTTTACTACAGCAACGTATTTATTCTGACATTTTAAAAAAGAAATTAGAAATACAGCCAGATGTTACTGTTGTTTAAAAGGCCATATATTAACTTTTCACTGCCTAAAGATTCATTTGTAGAATGCCCATAACAACAAAACATAAACAAATTCTTGTTCCGTGAACTTTTGTTAGTAACAAGAATTTCATGCAATAATTTAAAAAATTTCCATTTTGGCATAAATAGGTTAATAAGTTCCCTGTCCAGTGTATTATTCCAAAAGAACTAAATTAGGGTATTTATGCTTAACCCAGAGGGTAATTATAATAGACAGTAGTATAATTGGTGGATTAACAATAAGAAAGAGAGATGTGTATCTATTACGTGAATGTATAGGCCAGCCTGGATAGACAATAGAGTAGTAACCTGTGAAATAAACATAAAATGTTCTCTTAGACACTGTTTCTTATAATGTAACAATTTAATAGCACTTAATGAAGCAATGTAAGATTTATATACGTACGTGTGACTTTGTCTCGCTGTAGATTAGCTGTAAAATCAGGAAGAATAAAAATTTTAGATATTGGTCAGATTTTTTTTTATATTTTTAAAAATAAATTTTTGTAATCATTAATTTGTGTTTTTGGAGAGAAGGTGTTGCTGTGTAGTTCAGGCTGGTCTTGAACTTGCAGCGATCCTCCTACCTCATTCTCAGTACTAAATCAATTTGATTTGGCTTTATTGCAGTGATTTTTCAAAGGTTAATTATTTAAGATTTTCTTTTGTACTACTTCATATTTTTAAAAATATATCTTACATTAACTTTATATATAAACTTTTTATGCAAAGGAAATTATACCACTATAATGAAAAATCATTTTACATGTATAAGTTGCTTATAATACTTTTAATATTAAATTCATAAATATTTAAAAATACAAATTAGAAGTAATCAGTGTGAACAATTAAAATATTTTTCTGAAAATTATTCCCAAAGATGTATTTATGGTGAGACACTGGTAAAGAATAGCTTTTGTTTTCATCCATTCCATTGTGTCAGTAAGTTATCAGTGCCTCTCACTGAGGTTTTAGATTTGGACATTCTGAACATTAGGAAGAAATGAATTTTATAGTTGCCATTTGTCTTGTCTTGTTGCTTTCTTTTATTAAACAGACACTTTTCCATTTCATTTGGTATTTGTTACCTATAATAGAACCCATCAGGAACCCTGAGACTCTTGGCCCTTGTGGGCATTTCTGATTTCATTCTTGGGATTGGAGTTTGTGCTGAATTAACAGAGTTGCTATCCTAACTCTTGGCAGTTACCTCCCCAAATTCAAAGGTGTTCATTATTCAGTATTTTATAGAAACAAATGTACATCCATTGTACATTGCATGCATAGCTAAAATCATGTACCACTGGTGTGCTCAGCATAGTTCATAAATCTGGTGTTTACTGAACTACAAACAATATTTAAAACACCATGAAGGAAGTTTTTACTCCAGTGTTTACCATAATTAGTCAGAGATAGGGATCTGTTAAATAAAAGCTTTTATCTTCTTTACCCTTATCAGACTTAATAACCACCCCATCTTTTATTATGAAGTTGCTTTAATCATAAATCCTATGATTTATTCAGTATTAGTTCAAAAAATGGAATGCTTTCAACTAAGCCAAAATTTATATGAAAGTAAATTACATAAATCAAGTTTTCTGAATAGAAAATGACAGAATCAGTCTGAAAAATTAATATAAAATAAGTGATTAATTTCACATTTTATAAATATCATTCAAATTGTCATGTGCTTTCATTTTAAGCCAAGGGATTTTCATCATTGAGAGTACAGTTTTAGTCTTGTAAGTTTACCCCAGGAAGGTCAGAGACCACCTTGTGCTATTACTTCAAAGATCAAAAGCTAAAACTCCAGCAATAGTTTTTTTTTGTTTGTTTTTGTTTTTTTTTTTAATGTATTGGTGGTACTAATGACCTATATTTTCAAAGGGAAAGCAGTTATTTCACCATTTCTCTGAGATGGTACTTTCATGCACATTTTGTTTTACAGAAGGTTGCTAAAGGTCCCAATGGTAGAACTGGACATTGAAGTAGAGGTTGGTATATTGGTTCTAATAGCTATAGTTTTAACATCTACGATACAGTCCTAATTTAGGAAGGAAAAGTTACCTGAATATATGCATGCAGATATATACTGTTTTGTAGTATTAAGCCAACAAAATAAATGATTCTGTGAGAAGAAATTAATTATAGTGTGGTTATTTGTTAGAATTGTCTCATTTATATGAGTAAAATAAACAGTGTTAGACAGGGAGAAAAATGACTGGCTCAGATAGCCAGTCTAAGAAGTGCTGCTATTCCTGGAGTAACGCTAAGAATTCCTTTTACAAACAGGGAAGAAGGGTGCAGCAGTTTAATAGAATTTGAGAGTTTTAGGTCTGGAAGGAGTCTTTTCTACCACACAAGATTTTGTACAGGGAAGCTCACCTTATTGTCCTGTCTGTCTGAGGCATCTCGGCCCTGCTGCTCTGAGCGGCTGGGTTTGTTACAGATACGAACATAAAAATCCCACAGAATTTGCATAATTATAGTAACTTGAGGTTTCCCTCATAACATAGAAAAATAGTGGATATCTTATAAGATACTCCTATTCAAAAGAATATCTCATTTTTAAATGTGTTAATTTCTAGAGTGGTAAGCTGTTGGTTTGCTCCTTGATGCCAGTTTCCTTGGAAATTGCCAGTAGGATAAAACACATAGTTGTACTCTTAATTCTATGCAAAGTTATAATAGTTTCCATCACATTGTCTTATTGTGGACTTCTACTTACCACAGAGATTGTCCAAACACGTGTCATTAGTGGAGCAGGCACTGCATGTGGCTCCTCTTTTATATGGCCAAGTTGGGTAATTCCCTCTGTAAAGCAGAAGACTCTCCATTAGTAGAGATGTATTTTTTTTTTTCAGTTGCAGTTTACCATGAATCCTTGACCATACTCAGAAGAACAATTAGGTGGAAGGGCAGAATATTAGTTGGTAAAATATATAGAAAGACAAACAAAATGGAGGTTGCTAATATTTCTGTTTTATATGCCTGTGTCTATTAACCTGTCTTAATCTACATCATCTCATTTACTTTTGACAGCTCTCATCTAAAAGGTTAATAACTTGCCAAACATCACAGTTTACACATAACAGATTCAGAAGGAAACCTAGATTGTCTGACATCAAGGATATATGGTCCTGCTACTTACCTTCTGGCTTATTGTCATCTAAAAACTTCCTCTTAGAAAAGCTATCATGACCCTTAATTCTTTTCTAGACTACCAAGTCGCCATACTTTTTATTAGAGCTATTTAGATGGGGTAATGCTTTCCCAAAGAAAATAATGAACTAGGGGAAGATTTGAAGTGGGATTTGGGCTGTGGATTTAGCTCAGTGGCTTTGCAAGATCCTGAATTCAATCCCTGGTACCAAGGGAAAAAAAAAAGTAGGATGTTTTCACATAAAAAAATGTAATACGAGGGCTGGGGATTTAGCTCAGCGGTTTGGTGGCCTGCCTTGCAAGCGCAAGGACCCGAGTTCAATCCCCGGTACCAAAAAAAAAAGTAACACAAATAATAGATAATTAGTGGACACTTAACTGTGTGAGGCATATTTTAAATATCCTTGAGTGAAATAATTTCACAAACCTGAGTGTGGTACTGTTTGTTCTGTAGCTAGAGGCTTAGGCAAAGTGTAAATTTACCAAGGTCACTAATTAGAAAATAATATGTAAACATTTTATATCCCCATGAGTATCTTCAAAGTAGTAATGATGAGAGGCTGTTCATTTCATTCAGTGACTCTCATTTTTGTATGGTACCTTTTCACAATTTGGTGAAGCCTATAGACTCTATGTAGTTGTTTTTTTCAATGCATAGAATACACAGGATATAAAAGAAGCTGATTAAAATGAAATAGCTATCAAAACTGAAAAAAGACAATATAGTAATATGTGCTTCTTAGGTACTGAATAAGATCCAATGTAAGGTCCAATTATAATTTCAAAGTAATAATGAACATAATGTGTATTTTGAAGTATATGCAACAAATAGAATATGATAAAAATATATGCAGTTATAGATGTTAGTACCTAATTACTAAAATGACTGTACTGTTTTATTTTCATAGTACAAGGAAATATTTTCAAGAATGATGTAACTTTTTTCTAATCCAAGTTCATGCACTTCTCCCCCCAGTAGTACTGTACTTTGACCTCCAACAATAACAGATCCTCATAACTTAATCCCTCACTTATTCTTGTGTTTATTCTATATCATGGAGAATAGTCAATTTATAAGGGATTCTGATAGCAGTTACAAAAGGCCAAAACCTGTATTAGTCATTAGAAAACCTTTAATTGTTGAAAAGCACAGTACCTAGTAGGTGGTTTAAGTTCTGAAATGGTTTTAGTAAAATCATTGATGTTACCTTATTTAATTGTACATTACAAACTGTAAATAAGGGAGAAATTGCTACTTAGAAAGAAGGTTACAAAAAGGCAGTTGTGAATCGTAGGGAAATAAGAATTCATCTTGGGAAAATGGCCTGAATGTGTCTAGGTGGGAGTGATTAGACAGAAGCAGAAAGTTTTAGTATTTCTCCTACTAGCCTGAGAGATGCGTGGTCAAGACTTTAGGGAAGAGAGACAAGGTGAATGTGAGAAAGTAGGGGTGGTGAAAACCCACTAGGTACATACTAGCCGATGGTCAAGGTTATTTCCTCTTTTATGCTGTCCTCCCTCCCACTAGTCCATTCTAGATAGAGTTCTGTTATGCACTATTCTTGCTCAGTGGTAACAGGGAGTAAAGAGGAGAGTTACAAGTGACTGGTGAGTTAAACCCTGGCATACTTAGAGATATTGCAGAGGACACTGGACTCTTAAAATCTGGAGGAATGGGGACCTATGATTTTCATTGTGTATGGTAAAAAATCGCTAAGGCAGAAGGAAGTGAGGGCATTCTTTTACGGGTCTCTTTCACTCCCCAATCCTTTTTCCACACTTCATGTAGACTGAACGCCAAATTTAAGGCAGAACTCTGTTCTATTTGAGATACTTATTTGGCTTCCTCTTGAAGTTGAACTTTGCCATTATTTACAAGGTTCTGCAAGATCTACACTACTCCTTCTTATTTTTATCTCATTCAATAGTCCAAGCACACTGGTGTTCTGTCTATACTTTAAACTTGCTAGCCTATTGATAATTCCTATTCTAGTACTCTTTATATTTTACTTGCCTCTATGATAATGCAGTTACTATTGTGTGTCTGCCTCATAATACAACTTTAGTAAGGTCAAAGTCTTCACCAGTCTTGTTCTCCTTTGAAGCCTACTAAACAGTTTGAATAAATGAATGTATAAAGTTCATCTTTATGGGATCATAACTGATTATAAGTTTTACAATGTTTATAACTAAGCATAGTGAATATACCATGAAAATTCACATTTGCACTTTATTATTAGAACAAAAATAAAAGTACTCTTGGAGCCATCACTATTGCCAGGCGTTACATATCGTTGTTTTTGCACAGCTTTCTGTATAGTTCTTACAGCTTTACTAACTGGTAGTTGCTATTATTTTACATTTTGGAGAGAAAACTCAGATTCACAGAACTGATTTCTCAGGCAGCATAGTGAATAAACTACCCTTACTAATAAAAATGTTATTAAATGCTACCCCTGGTTGAATTATGACTTTGGCTACTTTTTCCTGGATTTGCTTTATTTTCTGACTTTGAGATTTTAAGTCAAAGCTGGTTTCTTCTGAAGAACACTTTCAGAGCCCCGTTTCCTCCCCATATTCAATCAGAATACCAAACATCTCTTCTGAACAATACTTCAAGGAAAGAGGTTTGTTTCAGCCAAATTTAAGGAATTTGAACAAAATTAAAGAGCAACAAATTAAAGAAAAATGTATTATATGATGGTAAAGGGTTAAAAAGCCCTAGAATATAAGCAGTTACTATCAAAGAAAATCACTTTAGTAGAAAATGAGCAGACCACAAATGAGTCACCAAAGGACTTATAAATGGACAGTCAAATGAAGAGTTTAATTGTTAGTCATCAAAGAGATGCAAAGGAAAACAAAATAAAATTGTATTTTCTAATTTAATAGAAAATTCTAACAGTAATAACAAGGAAGTATAAATTGATACAATGATACGATATTTGCCAGTAGGTATTAAAAAATTAAAAATGGCTATACTAGAAGTATTCTAGCAATTGTAGGAAAATAGAAGCAACTTAAGATTTATGTCCAAGGTTGTCCATCATGTTACTATCAGGAGCATAGTTCTTAAGCCAGATAGCCAGGTCAAAGTACAGCTATGGCATTAAGTGCAGCACCGGCAGGTTACTCACCGTGCCTGTGCCTCAGTTTTCTTAGCTGCCAACAAGATGCAGGTGTGCCTTTTTTTTCTTTCTTTTCATAGACGTTTAAGAAGATAAATGGCAAGTATTTAGAATGGTTCTAATCACATTGTAAATATTAAAGTATCGTTTTACAATTATTGAAATTAGATTTGAGATTTGTTTTGAGACTAGGTTTCACTATGTAGTTCAGACTGGCCTTGAACTTACTATGTAGCTCAGACTAGCCTTAAATTTGAAGTGATCCTCCTGCCTCAGCCTCCCAGTGCTAGGATTACAGGCATGAGCCACCATGCCCAGCTATGTTTGATGTTTTAATGAGGAATACTAATGATATAATTTTAAATGTTTCTAGTATGATAGCAGTTTCTAAATACATAATGACCAAGTATACGCATATATCAATTTAAAGAATATGCTAGTGTCACTGCCTGAGTTTTCAAAGGGAAAGCTGTTTCCATTTTCAAAATAAAACTGACAAAATTAAAATAAGCTTATATAAATTGAGGATTTATTCATAATTCCTGCTCTTTTAATGACTGTTTAAAAATTTCCAAAGTTTAAATATACCAATAAATATAAAGCAACATTGATTTTTTTTCCATCGTTTCACCATTATCCAAATTATAATTTGTGTACCTGATGAACATTTACACTTAGTGCTCTTAAAGATGTGTATATCTATGTAGTGTTTATAATACACAGAAAAAAGGAACCAGAATGGAAATGAAGATCTCTGGATTAAGCAATTAAGAATTATATTAACTTTCTCCTTTAAGCTTTATTATGTAGATTTCTAAATAATGAAAATGCATTCTTTTAAAATGTAATGTCTATTTTGAGATAGAGGTTAATTTAAGCACTTACAGTGGTCCATAGTCACATATAAAATGTGCTCCATTGGAAAGTGTGTCAAAGCCAGAAACTCTAGGGCAAAATTGAACTGCACAGCCAACCTTGTAACTATCAGCCCAAACAACCTGAAAATAAATAAGGATTTTTAACACAGAAATGAGAAATGATGAGATGAGTATTTGGGTGTGATTAGGACTTCCTAAATAAACATAGTGAGATATATTCACTTCAGTGAGTTAAAGCCACTTTCTACCAAGTAAGTTCTAGGCACTCAAAATTCTACTAGAACCAAGACCCATAATTACTACCACGATGTGTGTGTGTGTGTGTGTGTGTTGAAATAACACATTTTTTATAGTTACTAGGCTGAAGAAATAAAAAGCTAACGACAGTGACTGACAGGAAGAAAAGGAACTGGTTTAATAGGATTGTTCAGAGGAACCATCTCTGAAGAGACTTTGAGGTGTGAGTGGTGAGGATGAAGATTTAGGAAACTTGAGTAACAGAGAAAGCACATTTCATGGGGCCCTCTTTGGAACAAAGACCCTGAGGTGGGATTTGCTTGTTAAGATGCAGAAAGGCAGCCAGTGGAGCCAGGATGTACTGGTCAAAGTGGAGGAAGAGGTAATGGAGATTCTTGTAGATACTTTTTTCACACCCTAAAAGATCCCAGAGGTGGCTATAAAGTGAACAGACCAAGAAAGAAAGGCAAGGGAAGAAAAAAGGAGGCCACTGTACAGGCTATGTCAGTGGTACAAGAATGCAAACATCTATCTCACACTTGGGTGATAAAGAGCTGTTCAGATTCATGTCTCGTAGGTGTAGCTGAATAGATTTGCTTTTGGGTGTAGGGTAACAGTTTTGGTTTGGGGTCTGTGAAATATTTATTGATACGGAGAACAAGAGTAGGAGCATGGGCAAGAGGTTCTATTTACAACATCAGTTTTAAGCTGCCTGTTAGATGTTCTACTGAAGACTGGCATGGCTGCTACACTTGGCCGTATGCAGTTCAGAGGACAGAGTTAGGCTAGAAATACAAAGCTGGAAGATACGGGGCTAAATGGCATCCCACAGGCAAAATAATAGACAAAAATGTAAATGAAAGCCTGGGATTAAGAAAACCCCCCACAAAAACAAGTTAACAAAGCAAATGAAAAGTAGTGGTCAGTGATGTAGAGGGAAATCAAACAGCCAGCTTCTAGACTCAAAAGATCTTCATCCTTGATTTAAATCAATGCTGTTGGGCTGGGGATTTAGCTTGGTGCCACTGTCTGCCTCACAGGAGCAAGATCCCAAGTTTGATCCCTGGTACCAAAAAAAAAAAAAAAAAAAAAAATGCTTTTGCATATTCCAGTGTCTTCATTATACTTTCCCCTTGCTTTCTGAGTGGATTCTACATTCTACATTTTCTTTTCTTTTGCACTGGTCCCCCACAAATTAATGGCTTATCTTTAAGAAGTTTTGTGTCATAAAATAAAAGAAGAAATCATTTAAAGGTCCAGTAGCTGGCAGCAAGCCAGAAATTAAATACACTTTTTTTACAGTGATATCAAATTAACACTTTTTACCATAACTTTTTGAATAGCACTGTGACAAGCGAGAGTTCTGCTAAATGCGGGGGATATCAGGTGAACTAGAGTCAGCAGGTGACCTTCACAAAATGTAGACAAAAGCAGTCATGAAGCCATTATATAAGAGTTTTTACCTTGTTGAAGGAGTTTTAAGGGCATGTTTGGCATGGGACCCTTCTCTGAGGAAGTGAGGTTGACCCAGAGCTGCTCTGAGAGCCAAGAGAAGTCTTCCAGTAAAGGGCAGTACCTGGCATGAACACTAGGATAGGGAAGACCCATTCACAGAACTGAATCACTGGCCAGTATAGCTACAGAAAAGGATCAAGCCAACTTCAAAACCAGAATTTGCTCCCTAGGGAGAAGAAGAAAGGAGCTAAGGATGGAATCTGAGCTTCCCCAAGGTTTGGAAGTGGAATTCAAAGGTAGGAAAGTGGTTAGACAGCTGTCTAGGTTGGAGTTGCCACAGAGATTCCTTAAGATACAAGATGAAAGTTCCTCTGGTAACACACCATTTAAAACCCCGAGGAAGGATTGTTCCTTGCCAAAGGAGGGCACTGTTCCTTTGGAAGTTCTGGGACAGCCTCAACAGATGCTCCCCAGCTGACAAACCAAGGGGAAGGCAGTCTGCAAGGAGGAACTTCCTTTTCTGATCCTCTAGCCCATGCTCATATATACAGCTTAAGACACGCCACAGCCATCACTATAGAGAGTCAAAATGAGAAAACAACTTTATGTCATATGGGCCTGAGATTTCAGACATGAATCTTGCCAAATTAACTAAGCTTATAAATTCTCTCTGGAGAATATTTGGGCATAAGAAAATTCATTTTCTAAAATTCATTCCCTTGCACATAGATACTAGAGCTAAACTGAGTGATCCTAAACTCTTTAAAAGATAACTATACTCTAGCCCCACCTTAGAAGAGGCACCCCCATCGTGAGATGTCCAGAGAGTGCCTGGGTCTGCTAAGATGTAGCTACAGCAACCACTTTTTAAGTGAGTTAGGGTTTTAGCTCTGCATTGAAAGCCTCATTCAATTCTTGCCACAAACCTGTAAGGGAGCTGCTGCTATCCATAGATCAACAAATGGATCAGAGAGGTTAAGAAGTTTCCCCAATGTCATTTAGCTAGTAAGGAAGAATTCACATTCAGATATTGGATAGGCCTTAAATAATGTATATAAATTATCTTAAAAGGTCCATTATTAGAGCTGTTCAGGCTGATAGGCTTCACATATCACTTCTCTCCATATGTCCAGACTCTTCAAGCCCTACTCCCTTTGATATTACATACAGTCTCTGTTCTATTTTTTCTTTTTTGTTTTCTGTGATGCATCAAACCCAAAGCCTTACACATGCCATGCCATACCACTGAATCCCATTTATTACTAAAGTAAGACTGTTATTCCTACTCACTCACATTTTCACGTGCAGTAGCTTACGTATTTTAATTTACAGTTCTCTCCCCATTCTTGAAAAGATAGCTTTTAAAAAATACAGGCCAGTACTTACCTGAGTGTAATGGCCACAGACATTTTTACATTTCTTAGTGTTGAAGTCATAGTATTGGATTTCACTGTACCAATTTGAGATGGCTGGAGACACTGAAAACAGGGACAAAGATCCGGTCCAGATATTTTCTCCCATTGAATTGAATTTTGGGTGCAGCTTGCCTGACTTCAGCTGTGGGTTGTGTCCAAAGTGACAATTTTTTGCCCACGCTTTTGCAACTTGGGCAAGTGCTGCGTCCCAAGTCTGCAATATAAGTATTAAAAAATACAGAAGTCAAGAATAGAATCTGTTACTCAACAATGTAACTGGAGGGAACGGATGAAATCTGAATAGTAACTGAAGCTCGATGACGAGACTAGAGAGAAGGAACCGCTGCATATAAGTCCTGTTTAGTTTTCAAGCACTAAGGCTGGTAAGAACTATGGTAATCTAGTTTTGTGGAATTTAGTCTAAGCGAGGGAGACAGCAACATTTTAGTGAATGTCAACTTGCATGTAAGATAGTTTACACCATGTTTCACATTTTATGTATGCTGCCACCGCAGCCCTCATCCTAAGAAGCTCAGAAAGGTTTAAAACCAGTTTAAAGCCACGGGTCTGGGATTCAAACCCAGAATCAAAATCCCATCTGTTGTCCCCCAGAAGGTGGTCGGCTTTCCTGAGATACTGATCCTAGCACAAACAATAACAACAACCCCACCCACCCCTCAGAGAAAACAGAGACAAGGCAAAAAAAAAAAACAAACAAAAAACAGAAACCTTGCAAATATTAACTGGAGAAAAATGACAAAAACCAACCAACCTCAAAACAACACCCCCAAAAACAAAACAAAATGGAACAAAACAGAGACACAGAAAAATGGGGCAGTCCATGACCAAAAGAAAAGTATCCAAAAAATAACTAAAATGAATTTGTGGAGCTTTCTTATATTGAGTTAAGGGGAAAACTGGATATATTTTGATCAGAGATTATGTATTTACTACACACATTAATTACAAGCAAAAAAAAAAATCATTCACGATTACCAAGGATTCACCCCCACAGATTATATACACATGAGCCGCTTTGACTGACTTCTGCTATAAATGCCGATATTTTCCTTACCATGTATAGCATATCACTGGCTGTTGGAATCACCTTTGACCGGAACTTGTTGTGAATTCGAACACAGTCTTTGATGAAATCTTCATTTTTGGTATCTGGCAAAGTATTTGCTGTATATGAGTAACTAGAGACAAAAGAAATCACCCAGGCCGTTGAAACGAGAGTGACCCACATGCTTGGTGTTTCTGGCCTGGAGTCCCCCTGGAGGGGTGCTGGCGCCCAGCCCCACGGGGTTCTGAGTTTGGCTTTGCGTTCCTAGTTTTCAGCTGGCGGCTTCACAAACCACAGCAGACCGGTTTGAGAGAACGGGAAGCGGAGTTCATCGCAGGTTTTAAGAAATGGGTTTCTCCATATATGGCTTGCAGCTCATTTTGCAGTCTTAACCCTATCTTTCCAGTGGTTCTTGGTGACACAGCACCTATTGCAACACAGATTTTTAAGAGGTTGCATCAGATTTTCTTTGAATAAGGAGATATTTTGAAAGCAAATTCGAAAGCCTCTAGAAACAACACTCTTGAGGTTTTTAAAAAAATGTAGATTGTGGTAATAAAGTGTAAATAATACACACTTCTTCAAAAATGACTGGCAAATGGTTCTTTTTTTTTAAAAAAAATCCCTTTTAGAGACATATTAGCAGTGATAGGAATGCAGTAGCCCTCTCTTACCTGAGTCCTTCCTTATCAGTGGATGCTTGAAACAATGGATAGTACCAAACCTTATTTGTACTGTTTTATCCTCTACTCACTGTGGTAAGTTAAGAAATTAGGTAGAGTAAGAAAATGATTAATTCTAAAATAGAACAGTAATAACAATATACTGTAATAAAATGGCCAGTATCACTACTATTGTGCTTTGAGGCTATTAGTAGCATGAGAATTACTCCGTCATAAGCATTATTAAACCATGAGTTCATCTGCCACATGACTAATGGACATGTATACACTAGGCGTACCGGTGATTTGAGGTGGGAACGGTGCAAGATTTCATCATGCTATTCAGAACAGTGCATAATTTAAAACATTGTTTAGTGCACTTTTCTGTTTAGCATTTTAGACTTTTCTGTGTAGTATTTTTGGACTGTGATTAACCCCAGGTAACTGACATTATAAAAAGTAAAACTACAGATAGGAAGGGACTGCTGTATCAGGTTACTATCATAACTTGACCTAAAATTCACAAAGGTGACATGTGCGCATGCGTGGGTATGCATACATGTAGGAAGGAGGGGAGAAGAGTATAAAGAATACTGGTATCAAATTCAGTTCCTAAATAACTATGAGACCTTGGATAAGTTACTGAATCTTCACAGCCTCGTGCCTATTAAATGAACGAAAATAGAGATTTTTCTACCTCCTTAGTCACAGAATGTTGGGAGATTTAAATGAGTTAGCTAATACTATATTAATTTAGCACACATTAAAGTCTTGCTCTGTGTATTCAGCTTAGTAATGCAGAGTTAAAAATACAATCTCTGCCCTCGAGGAGTGTATAGTGGTAGGAATTGTGAGATGATAACAAGGGTGGTTGCAACAGAAGCTGCCGAAGATCTGGTAGAAGAGAGGTATGGGTTCAACAGGAAAGGATGCACAAACCATCCTGGGAAGGGTAGAGAGGGCTTCCTACATAAATAAATGAGGTATTTTGAGAATTGCATAGGTGATGATCAAAGGAAAAAGGGCTGATGGGATAAAGGGAATTGGAGAGACAGGATACCTAGATGTGAAGTTGGAAACATTATGTTTTCAAAAGAATAGAATAGCGCAAGAATGGAGGAATAGTGGAGTCACAGGCTAAAGTACTGAATCTGGGGGTCCCAACGAAGCAGCTTTGGACATTTTCCTTTAAAAAGCAAATGAAAAAAAGCATGATGTAGGAAAGGAATCTTCATCAATATAGCTATCTATGTTGAAGTGGGACGAGAGGTTAGGTGAATCTAGGGCTACAGTAAGTTTTTAGATAGACATGCTGTAAGTCATTGACACACACCTTATGTGCAGAGCTGCACAGGTCTAACTCAAAAATTAAGGCACCAAAGGAGACAGAGTCAAGATTAAAGCAGAAATTAAACTTTCTACTGCTTTTTAGTTACTTCTTGGGCATCTGCATTCCCAAGTGAGGAATCAGTGTCCCGCTCCAAGACAATCTCCAATTCTGCTATATGCTATTGTCCTCTACAAATATGGTCTTCCAGGTATTGACTTTGGCTAGTAGGCAACATGATACTGGTTTCTCATGGAAATGGTACTTTTTTGGGGGAGAGAGAGAAAAGTCAGATCCAAGAGAATTTTTAGATTTTTCCAACCATTTGATTTTTATCACAAATGTGATAGAAGTCACTGGAAGATATTAGCTGTTGGTGGAGATTGATTTGGCTTCAGAAAGCATCTGTAGTTTTTAGAAAATCAAGAAATATGAAAATGGAATGAAATAGGGAAATTTTAATGAAAACCTCTAGAGTAAAGAAATGTTGAAGATCCTAGACTCTACCAAAACTTTCACAGCTGATAAGAGAATTCAACAAAGTAGCAGGATATATAAAACCAACATTAAAAACAATAGCTTTTTGAATTTGCAAATGATAAACTAGCTGAAAAAGAAGCCAGGGAAACAATTCCATCCACAACAACTTCAAAACCAAACTATACGTATCAGCCTAACCAAGGAGGTGAAAAACTACTATGAGAATTTCAAACCACTGAAGAAAAAAACTGAAGACACTAGAAGACGGAAAGGGCTTCCATGTTCATGGATCAGTAGAATTAATATTGCTAAAATGGCCATATCTACAGATTCAATTCAATTCAATGCAATCTTCATTAAAATTTCAATGACATTCTTCACATAACTAGAAAAGGCAATCTTAAAATGCACTGAGGAAGCACAAAAACTCAAAGTAGCCAAAGCAATCCTAAGCAAAAAGAGCAAAACTGGAGGCATAACAATTCACATTAACACACAATTAATACAGAAAAAAAAAAAAAGCCACAGAAACAAACCCACACTACTACAGATATCTGATTTTTTTTTTTTCTGTTTTTTG